CCTTATTACATTTTAAATCTGCTGCAGTGGAGTGGATTCCGACTCACAGTGACCCTATAGTATGCTTTAGAGTCAATTCAGTTACTAGGAATAGTCGCATGTATTTTTGTTTTGCATTTTTCTAAATTTTCGGACATACAGAAATATGGGGCTGGGCTACAAAATGTGTTACTAGATGGGTGATATCTGGACAAAGAGAGTAACCAGAGTTTTCTTACAGAGAACTGAGCTCCCGCCCTCAACACACCTTTTAGCCATGTTTCTTTTCCTCTAACAAGCACATAGGATTTATTTTCTTCTTCAGTCTGTACTTCGTTTCTTCTGAAATGCATGTCATAGCAGTAAGCTTTAAAACCTTACTTCTGTTTTTTTCTTTTTAACTGAGAAAAACAATTTCAAATTTTACTTTGCTATTGTGGAATGCCGTCACTTCAGTTCAGTGCACAGTACTTAAGCACACAGCCTCAGTGTTGGATGTTTCAGTCTGTTCACACCTAGTAGTGAAAGCTCCACATTAACAGTTACATTTGAGGTTTAAGATTCTCCTGACACTTTGGATGTGTAGGCTTAGAAGTTTCTTGAGTGAAATCGATTACTTCCTGGGTCATTAAAAACAATCAATGTGATTCTGTTTGTTCCTTTTTTAAGAAAATATAAACAGTTTTGTTGGAAAAGTGTACTAACCTGTGTCTAGTGTAGACTCCACTGCAGGATTCTGAGCATTGTTACATAGTAGCCTAATCACTGAGCAATAGATGCTGTTCTTATGTAACATTTAATAAGTGATTATTATATATTTCCTGTGGCATCCATGTAAGCGAATGTAATTTATCAAACAAAGAAAATCAAATTTTCAAGTCATAAAAGAGAAAATAAAAGTGCAATGAACCACAGTTACTGCCTCTGTTACGCACTGCATCACGTTAATAACTGCTCACACTGCTTTCAATTAATCTAATGCTGATTGCTTCTAACCTTCACTAAACAGTCTTGAACACTGCTGTAGTTTAGCCTGCGACGCTCGTGATTAGAGCCGACAGTTTGACATGGCCAGCTCACCCGACGCAGTCATCTTCCCGCCAGCTTTCTTAAGGTCTGGTAAGTGTGTAGACCCCCAAAAGGGTCACTTGGTGTTTCTAAAAAACCTTTGATTCTGAAGGTTCATGTCACCCCATGATGTCATTTTAGCTTCATTTCTTCTTTGGTGGGCCCAAGCCCGAGCGCCATTTCTGCTGCTGTCAGACTCAGGTGTGCACTGCATTTCGAGTGAGGCCTGTCATGTTGTTGGGGTGCAAGACATGGGAAGGGCCGGCAGTGGAGTCCCTGCCCTGACTCCTGCAAACCGTTTGACCAGAGGCAGTTGAATTTTTCTGCTTCTGAGAGCCTCAGTTGTCAAGTGAGTATATAAGGCAGCTCCTTAAACTGTTTTTGTTCTTTTGCAAAATGGAAACAACATTTATAAATTAGTAACTTGTGGTCAAGGCCCCATAGCCCCAACTCTTCATCAGCTCCCTATGAAGTAGATACTATCATGTACAGTTTCATAGACAGGAAACAGTCACAGAGGTGAAGCCACGTGCACCAGGTTGTGAGACTTTTACGTTGCAAGGCCGGGAGCTTTGTGCTGCATCCCGTGGCTCCTCCATGTGAGGCTGGAGGAAACCTTGGCACAGTGGCTCTTAGCCTGTAGTGGTTGGTGATTGCTGCATGAAAGCTGTGTAATTGCTTCCGAGGTGACTGCATGTTATTTTGAAAACAATTTCTGGGAGGTTCATGGACCCAGGGAGATCCACGTATGAATTTCCGTTAGGAACGCATGCCTATGAATGCATCTGTCTTACTTTACAGGAAAAGAAATGGGTGTTGTTAAGTGGCCACATTGATGAAATTAAGACAGAAACCGTAGGGTCTCAGAACACTCTGGAAGAAACCTGTTGGCAAGATGCTGCCTTGTTTCTATGTACCTGAAGCAAAATAGTTAATTCTCAGGACCCATTAACAGGTAAACGTGAGATGAGCCAAGCCAGACTGTGACAGTGAAGCTCTTCTCTTGGACTCACCATGGCCTTTCGGAAGCGGTCCCCTTCCTTATTTCCATTTCTACATCCTGTCTTGTCAAGATGGAGGAAGAACATTGCTAAGAAAAGAAATAGGAAATAGCTTAGGGAAGAATCACAATCAAATGGGAAAACAAACCTTATAGTTCAAGGAACAAGAATGATCCTTGTCTTCAGTTGTCATCGGCTAAGTGACAAACTAGCATATTGTATGTGACAATGTCAGTTTATTTCTGATGTAATATTTGAGCTAAAAGAGTGAGAGACTATATATCTTTGGACTGTGTTTACTTTCTTTTAAAACATCAGACTCTCTTTTCTATCTTGACTTTCTTAATAAGGCCTTGGTGGGTTTCCAGCACTTGCCAAGCCATTCAGTTGTAATGGGGAGATAGAATGTTAAAGATAATGCTTTTATGCCTCCGTCGTCCTGAAAATTTCAAAAACCCAAGAACTGTGCTTTAACGTTAAATAGAGGGTTTGAAAGCATATACGAGTAGTAGCTTTTCCAATACCAGATTATTACATCAAAACAATGCAGCAAGAAACAAAAGATACCACGCTTCTGTGTTATAAGCCATTTTAAAGACTTAAAATTACTTTAACCATTGGCACTTTTTTTTTGTTCCTCTAGCGAAAATTTAGTAAGACTATAAAGAAATATTTGAAAACATAATTTGTTAAAATAAGAAATACTCAGTTTGCATTTATAGTTTATTTACTAATTTGAAATTCTGCATTTATGTTGGAAACGGTTCGTTTTCCCCTGTCATAGTTCCTTGGGAGAGGGTTTCATTGCATAATTTAATTTCACAGTCGTTTTAAAACATGTCCTGGGTTCACAACTATGCTTTTCACTGGTGCTTCTGACTGGAAACTATCCAGTGTTGCAAAAAATGAAAGGCAGTATCTTGATTTTGGAGAATTAGTTTCCTGTGTCCCTGGATTGTTGTGTGCGTTTTAACCCTCCTTAGTCTTCCTAATATGTGCCCCTGCTATTATTTCTGTTTCTTCCCTTTTTTGAGCTTAGTGTGAGTCCTGCATTTGTACTGTGCATACTGGGGATGCGCTCTGACTGCTAATGTGTCAGAATGTGCTATGGCTGGATGTAATTCCTTTTATTTTGACTGCCTAAGTCCAAGGAGAGATCTAGGTATTCAGGTTTGTCTTTAAAGAACCTTGGAGTAAAACGTGCAAGACACTGAATTTATAATGGAGTTCAACAATGAAAATAAGTTACATTTTATGTATGTAGCAAAGGCGTGTAGCATCCTGCACCTTCGAGTGCTTGTTTTACCTTGGCCTGCTACAGCTGCACAGCGCGTTAGGTTGGCAGAGCCGGTCAGGCAGAGCTGTCACGTCAGCACTGCGGCTTCATTATCTGTAGTAATGGGTACAGTATGTTGTGATGAGGTAAAAAATGTCTAGGCATTTTCGCTTTCATTCTCAGGTGGTAAGATAATTAAAAAATTATTCCTTCTTAAAATGAATCATCATTATCTGTATTTTGGCTTCCTAAGTTTATCAGCCTCTGATAAGTGAGTTTCTCAGCCTCTGCCTTGAATTTTTCCCATTACTTACTCTCATTTCTCTTTAGATTCTTTCATTGATTTCCTGTTATTAATTTGCTTTGCTTACCTGGTAAGGTTTTCTTACGTATTCTGGGAAGAACTCAACTTTTTATCTTATACGTGTGAAACTCTCTTCTTTTCAGGCACTTATGTAGCAGCTTTTTTTTTTTTTTTTAGTCTCATTTAGCAGTCAGCTAATCAAAAGGTTCTTGTGGCTTCAGGAGACCACAGGCCTCGAGACTGCTGGACTGTTGTGGTTGTGGCCCCTTCAGGAGCCCAAGGAAGGAGCACGTACCTTGTGGTCAGCCGGACCCGAGTGTAACCCTGGCGCTGTTTTGTTGTTGGCAGTTGCCATGCAGTGGGCTCCCGCTCACGGTGACCACAGGTATAACAGAAGGAAAGGTTCCAGGTCCTGTGCCGTCTTCATGATCACTGGTGCGTTTGTGTGCATTGTTGTGGCTCCTGTGACAGTCCGTCTCGAGGGTTTCCCTTGTTTGTGCTGAGCTTTTGATGTGCTTTTCTAGAGATTGGTCTTTCCTGATGACGTGTCCAAAGTAAGTGAGCCAAAGTTATCGCCAGCCTTGGTTCTAAGGAACATTCTGTTTGTATTTCTTCTAAGACTGATTTGTTCTCGACAGGTCTTTTGTTTGCTACCTGTTTTATCTTGGACAAGTTATTTTGTATCTCTGAGAACTCAGCTTCCTTCTCTGTAAAAATGAGGATAATAAAATTTACTAGGAGGGATTATTGTGAGGATTAAGTAAGATGTTGTGTGCTAAGCAGTTGATACTTAGTAGCTGTTCAATAAATTTTAGTTCTTGTCCTTCCAAAAAACATATCTTTTACAATATTGCTGATATGTATTAAGGATTTATACAGACATGGCTGTTATTATCTCTTTCTCTCATTTTGATATCTACCCTTAAAGTAGCTATTTGATTAAGAAAATCTGCCGTGCTTAAATACAATTAGCTTGAATCAGATTACCCAGAATCTCGTATTAATAGAGTGATGCTATTTAATGGTCCATTCCATTTTGTAATTTTAGCTCTCATTCTACTCTAAGTCCATCTCATTTTTGTCAGTAGTCATCTACAAGTTTAAAGAAATTGCTTCTGACGGTTCCATGGAAACTCCTATTAGACAGTGGAGAGACCAATCGTTATTTTACATATAGTTAATAGGTTTTTTTGTCTTATGTTAGATATGCAGTGGGTTCCCTTAAAATAGGATGGAATTTTCAGAAAGCACTCGTTAATAATACTCTGCTGGGAGCGCCGATCTCTTCTTACGAGGTCCTGCCCTGTAGTCTTACAAGATTTAGGAAGTGGAAGCCACGTGATATGACTTAACTCCCTCGGCATGAATCTCATTGACCTTAAAGCTTACTCTCTTTCTGTGTCATTGTCCTCCGCATATATGATGCTTCAGATTTCATAAATGAAATGGTTTCATGAGGAATACAACTACTCCTTTCTCTGCTTTAGATTATTATAGAATATTCACAGTGTGTATTCGAAAAGCTATTTTTCTCTTGTTATTTTCTTCATCTTCCTTCTTCTGTGAAGTCAAAAAAAGGGTAAGAGGAACTCCCAAGAACTGATTCCTGTATCCAGGTGCCCACTGAACATTTCTTAATAGGTGTATTTTGGGTGTCTCAAATATAACCTGGCCAAGATAAAACTCTTGTTTCCTACCCCTGTTCCCACCCTAAACATGCACCTTCCTAAATCTTCTCCATCTCAGTAAACCAAACCACCATTCTTCCAGCTGCTCAAGATAAAATATAGGGTTATCCCTTTCTTTCTTGTACCGTTTTAATTCAGTTTATTTGTAAATCCTTTGTACTACATCTCCTAAACACATAGCAGTCTGTCTGTTTTTTTCCAGCTGTTCTTTAACCTCCCAATCCAAGCTCTTTTCACCTCTGCTTCAGACTACTGAAATCACCTGGTCTCCACATTTTTCCTCACTACAGTCTGTTCTCCAGTGAGAAGGATCTTTAAAGTATAAGCCAAGTCACGTTACTCTCCTGCTTAACATCCTCCAGTGGCCTTCCTCATGCTTACCATGAGTTCCACAGTCCCGTCCCATGGGTTTCAGAGCCCCAAGTGTCCCCTCCTTGCCTGTGTCTCTGTCCTCCCTGAGGAGCTCCTCTACTCCCCGCTGGTCTCCAGCCGTGCTGGCTTGTTTTCCCTAAGACACAATCGGCTTTTACTGTAGGCTCTTTGTAGTAGCTACTTCCTCTCCCTGGAAAGCCCCTCTCCTGCTCTTTGGGTGTCTTGTCCCTTCTGGCTTTCTTTTGTTGTTATTAGGTTCCATTGAGTCAGTTCCAACTCATAGTGACCCCATGTATAACAGAACAAAACACTGCCCTGTCCTGCACCATATTCACAGTTGTAGGTATGTTTGAGCCCATTGTTGCAGCCACTGAGTCAATCCATCTTGTTGAGGGTCTTCCTCTTTTTCA